ACAACGTCCGGCTGTTTTTTGGTTGCAGCCGTCATTGTTGTTTGGTGGGTCCAGGCTGGGGATTCGAACCCGCCACCTTAGGTGTACATGGCTGGTGCCTTAGCCGGTTGAGCTATAGGAGCTGAGCCGGGATTACATCTTGTAAGTAAAATAGCATGTGAAGATGATAGTCTATAGTGAGGGTAGCAAATCCTTAGTCCAGGACCAATAGAGCAGTGGTTCTCAACCTGTGGGTCGCAACTCCCCTGTAACAATGAAAATACACTGCAGCATTAGGAGGGTTGAGAACCACTGCAATAGAAAGATATAACTTCTTTTGCTTGTATAGTGTTGACATTGTGAAATTAGTCACCAACATTTGAATATCGGAAGGTTTCAGACATAACGTGAGGTTTCCATGTACTTTTGAAGGTTAAGTATAATATCTGGCCACAGGGAGCCTATACCTCTACATGTCAATGATACACTGGAACTAAGTGCCTGCCCACACTGTAACAGGTGCATGTGACCCCTACAGACTAATAGTGCATGGGAACCTTCAACACAGAGCCATAGATCACAGCCACCTGCCATCATCCTGCACTGCTACATTCGCAGCTATGTCTCTATCAAAGTCAAGAAAATTGCAGGGAAAAAGCCCTGTCTCACCAGCGCACTTCTTTCATTTATATCCCCTGCTCAGCCTCTGTGGGCATCTGAGTTTGAGCCAGACATTTTATAGCAATAGAAAAAAAGTAGACATGTTTAGAAAAGTTTAGCTACTATACATATGATTCACAGGCACAATAAATGTTTGTGAATAATAATCAACAAAAATGGGCAGTGCCTGTGGCTCAAAGGAGTAGGGTGCTGGTGCCATATGCCGGAGGTGGCGGGTTCAAACCCAGCCCCGGCCAAAAAATTGAAAAAAAAAACAAAAATGACAGTGACGGGAATGAGGAAATTACCTTCTTGTTGAGAGTCTTCCACCGCGTGTTGACATCGTCCAGGTCTCGCTCCAAACCCTGAGTGCTGGTGTTTTTAGCAGCACTCTGAATAAGGCCTTGACCTAACCAGTTTACATCTTGCTGTTTAACCTGCAAGGGTTCAATCTCTTCTTTCTGGAATACCTGAACGTGAAAGAGCAGTAATTACATGAATTATATTTTCTAGCAATCACCAAATGCACAATAAGCAACTATCAATTATTTCAGAGGTAGAGATAATTTTTGTTGCCTCTTCACAGGGTATAACTTTATGAGTAACAGTAAGTATAAGTTCATAGCCTATCAAGAGCACTCAGGAACATCAAAGCATGATGGTTTAAGTCTAAGAGCAATTAATCAGATTACTTATAAAACCAAGAAGAGAGTATGTGTGTCCTCTCTTGACTGCTTCATAATCAAAACATGGGGAATTTCCTATGTTCCAATTTAACTCTTGCAAAAGATATACAGGAAACGCTAAGGACTAAGAGGGGGCCAAGACGAGCCTTCCTGGGCAAGGCATCTCTGCAGGCTCCCATCACGATGGCTGCTGCTAGGGAGCAACTGGAGGTGGAGAATCATCAAGAAGATGAGGCAAGCCCAGTGGATAAATACATGGCTTGCCAAGGGCACCAAAGTACAGAGACAGGAAAAGGAAAAAGACCCAGGTGTGTGTTACAACAGTACAGACCCCACACATCTAACCCCTCAGTGCCTATCAAGGTGCCCAGGGGCTTGCAAAAAGTATGGCGACCTCACCCCATGGAGCTGATCACACACATCCCTGACAGAGCAGCTTGGCTTACTCTCAGGTCACTGCCAGTGGTTTCCTAGTACTGTCTCCACCACTATCCAACCCATCCTACTTCCAATTGTCCAGGACTGGCAAAGCCTCTAACACATTAGATTAATACGAAGCTACATGGAAGCAGAAATATCCCTTTCCTTACAGTGGCTCTAAGCTCTGGGCGTACCATGGTACCCAATGATTATTTGCAAAATTAATATCCGTATCAGTAAAGAAAAATCCTATTTCTCTCTTAGCTGGATGACATCAACCCCAGCCCAGATATTGCCGGGGTAGATACATTGTGTCTTTCACAGATAATGTAAATGTTTTTAACATGAGGCTTGGAGGATGCCCGGAGGAAAATCAAGTGTTTTAACTAAGGAAGGAAAGATTCAGATAGTAAAGTAACTATAGTTTGGGATTCTGGGTCTTATACTGAAGGGCATTATAAAAATATACCAATGATTAGACAGTTATTCAGAATGTATGGAAACATAAACGTAAATACTAAAACAATACTTAAGAAAAACTTACAGGCATAGTATGAAAAATAATTTTGAAAGATATAGAGACTGCTGGAGGCAAACTCTTTAGATTCAGGTCCAAAGCCTAGTATATAAGATACTCTATGTTACTATATTAAGTAAGTAAATTTAGGAATAGCAAACAAATTAATGATTGCTTCCTCTGAAGTCCCCTCTAAGTAAAAGCCCAAGATACTTCTTTCATAGAAAATCCCTATAGACAATTTCCATACTGGCTAGTTGTTTTTACATAACAATACTAAATAAAAAAATCAGTTACGCATAATCAACTAAATTATGAGATTCTCCCAAATTAGTGAGAAACAAGTTTTCATAATTCTTCAGGAAGGTATAAGTCAAAAGAAAGTTGCAACAAGGCAGTGCAGATAGATTCTGGCATTATGATTCTATTTCTTTTTCTATGCCAATTCTAAGTTACTACTTCTAGAAACCAACAGCTTTAGATATGTTTTACCACTCACCCCAAAGTAGGGAATATAAAGAAACTGCTACCTTTTTACTCCCAGGAACTTGCATGATAACTAAGGATTCAGAAAAATGTTTTATTCTCACTGTCAGATGGTTTGCAAGTACAAAAAAAAAAACTAATAATAACGTTCTAGTAAACAGTCTTAACCGCTGAGCTTGGCTTTAAATTAATTTTAGAGTTCTTTATCAGAGCAGATCTAGGTGAGTGTGGCAATTTTCAAGGTGCCACAAAAATATACTAAGTATTAGAAAAGGTAACTAGTAGAGAGTATATACTTGTAAGATTTACTTACTATCTATGAATAAACTGAAAAATCCTTTGCCGGAGAAAAAATACACTGGTGAGCTTTTAAATGAGCGTGCCATTTACTGCATGCATAAGGAAAAGGCATGATGGATGATTATTCCATAGATTGAGAAGAGGAACTTTTCTGATACTGTCTAAATCCCTTATCTCTCAGTGGTAACAAAATAACTTTTCCCCCACCAACACAAAGAGAAGCTTAAAATAAAATAAAATTACCTCTGAGGCAAAATTTACCCAAAGAGTTTAGTAAATGGACCCAAACAGCGGAACTTCAATCTGAGTGGGAAGAAAAAATTACAGGCCCAACAATGTCTACTTATTACAAGGCTGAACCCTTTACTTTCTTACCTCATTCACTACTCAACAAAAAGTCAGGAGCTATAATGCCTGCAAAGTACTACACGGTAACTCTACCCTCACATGCAGAGCTCCTGAGAGAAATTTTTCAGCACATTGAAAAAGTCCTTAAATTATGTAGAATACTTCACAGACCACAACAATATAATATTGTGTTTGCACTTTCATGACTAAGCCTGTTGAAGCTTAATAAATCCAATATAATGACCCGTAAGTGGCAGTGTCTTAAACCACTACTTGGGTAAAAGCCTAACATTAACATAAATTCACAGTGGAGGCATTCTAAATGATGGGGAACAGCCACCCTCTGTGCAATCAATAGCAGGACCCTACACAGCTGGGAAGAATCAATCCTCCCTAATTAATGTGTTATATAAATGACCGACTTATCAACAAGTGGCATCTTTCAGGGTGTGAGTCAAACCCCCCAAATTGGAGGCCTAAATCTGATCATTATTAGAAACACTGGTGACCACTCTGAAACACAACCACAAACCTCTGACATTACAGCGTCTCCCATTTCCATGAATTACCTGAACCGACTGGAAGCCATTGCAGACTGCATCCAGCATGCCTGCCTGGGCCACTGTTTTTCTGGGCTCTGCTTGGTTTCCTATTGGTATGAATTTCAAGGAGCACTTCATATGGATCGCCTCCAGCTCCTGGGCAGGAAGGGGAGCCTCCAGGTCTTTCGATGTGGTGCTGAATCCTTCTGAATCATACTGTGTCATGAGTGACACATTTTCCACTAAATTGGTGCTGCCACCATCTATGTCATTCTCCCCCAGTGCTGTGTGACAGAGATGTAAATCCTGAGGTGAATCCTTCCTAAGCTCCCTACTGTGTGCTGTGGTTTGAGATTCTCCTGCTCCCTGTGTTTTCCCCACTTCTCTGAGGCTGGAAATGTGCTCAGTGTCTCCATTTCTTGGCATAACTAATGGATCGTATTGAACAGTACTCGCTTTCAAATCGTTCTGCAGGCAACCATGTTCATCATGGATTTCTCTTTGACGATTTACACTGTTCACTGCCTCAAGTGGAGAACTATCATGTAAAATCATCTTGAAATTTTCATCAGGGCGGACACTTTGACATGAAAGCAGTGGGATCTTCTGTTCGCTAATTGAATTCACAGAAAAAAATGGTCTATATTGCTCTGTTATATGAATGTCTTCAGAAGAAGACAAACTTCTAATGCGCGGCTGGTCTCCAGTTAAAATGCCTTGTTTTTCTTCCCTCTCTGCTGGAGGACTACATAAACCAGAGTCATCCTCCTCTGAAGTTAGGGAATTGGTACCCCATCTGTACTTGCTGGCCTTGGCAACAGTATCTGACATATCAGTAGGTTCAACAAAAGAGCTTTCACTTTTGTTTGCATAATCCATAAAATTGGCTGGGACAAACATTCGCCATGACCGTCTATGCTCTTTCTTTTCTGCGTGAGATTTGGCTTTGGGATATCCTGGGGTTCGAATGATATCGCTGTTCAGTTTGAGTGCATCAAAGATCATCTTTTCATCTAGTTTGTTAGCTTCACGACCTCTCACCTCAAAAACACTGGAGGAAGTAAGGGCACCGTTGGAGCATAAAGAGCTAACATCCAGTGTTCTGTGACTGTAGGGTAAAGTCCGCTCTGTAAAATGCCTGGAAGACAGGCTGCCTTTTGAACCAGAGTCTATCTGTTCATTTAGTCTAACAGTGTCATAGATTGACCGCTGCGGGACGTAACAGTCTTCAATGTTTAGGTCCTCCTCTTCTTCCCCCTTCCCACATGGGGGATTCTGACGTAAACAGTCTGGTCTGCTGAGTGGCTTTCCCATTTTGCAGACAGTTAAAACCAATATTGCAGCTCTTGATACAGAAAATAAGAAATAAAATAAAGCATCTTTCAAGAAAGTATGCTTCTGAATAGAGCTATGAAGTGTCTTCAGCGTAAAGACTCATGTTCAAATAATCTATGTCATAATATATGAGGTGTTTCAGGTCATCAGCAGTGCGTCAGTACAAATCCAACTATCCTTTCACCTGGTTGATTTTAGGACAATTTTTAAAAATAAAGTGCATCCAGAACAGAGAATAGAAATCCCCTTTGTCCACCTCAGACCCTTGAGTTCCCTTTCACACACTACAAAACACAGGGGGGGAAAAACCCCACACAAACACACACTTAACAGTGGCTCAAACACTCAGAACATTCCATTGTCAGTCCATTTCCCTTTTTAGTCTAATTTTGCATCTGAGATTTCCAGATTAAAATTTCCAAATGAGCAAGCATTTTAACCGGCTGACTGTTAATTTCAGCAGAGCTCTGGTTAACTGTAATCCACTTAAAGATGGCTTGCAGAACTCCATCTCCTTTATAAATAAACCATGTTCAGAAACTTAAAAAGGCAAACACAGAGACCTTGTATTGTTCAGATCAAGGCACAGAACAAATCTTCAGAGAAACAGAAGTCTAATGTCGTAAGAAAGTTAAAATTTTCTTTTACTCTTTTGGGGTAATGGTGGTGGAGGGAGTAGCTATAAATAATCTTGATTCAAAAGGCAGGTTTTCTTCCCATATTAAGCTTCTTCGAGGCAAATCAAAAATACCCAAAGGAAAAACAAATTGGACATTTTGGACAAGCCAGGGCAGTACAATCCAGCAGCCGTTTACAGTAAACAGAAAGCAAGGTGT